GCCTCGGCCTTTGGGCACGTGGAGCGGGCCGAGATGGTGCCGAAGAGCTCGGGGTCGCGGAGCCCCTCGCCCGGGAAGCCGGAGGAGGAAGATGAGCTGTCCCGCCGCTGCCGCCGCTTCATGGCCTTGCCGGTGACCGATCTGCGCGAGCTGCGGGGAAGGCCAGGCGACATGAAGACCAAAATGGAACTGCTGATCCTGGAGACTCAGGCCCAGGTGTGCAAAGCGCTGGCACAGGTAGACGGCGGCGCCCGCTTCTCTGTGGACCGATGGGAGAGGAAGGAAGGTAGGAGGTCGGCGTCTAGCCGGAGGTGGAAAGGCGGGCGGGGGTGTCCACACGGCTTTAGGATGCTGGGGGTGCGGTGTGAAGGAGTACCCCGCAGAGCATACTGCTTGGTTAGAAGGTACATTGTTAAAATAAAAAAAAAAAAAAATTGACACTGAAAGGGTCATTTACCCTCTGCTTGCGGGTGTGGGACCCAAATCTACTGTCACGGTACTATTAAGCACTTCAAAATCTTTGTAATTTTGTAAAAAACTTCTCTGGTCTTTGGGTTATTTCCAGACAGCAAACTTAAGTGTCCAAAGTTGTCATTAAGCATAGATTTCCTCCACATTTCATCTGATTCTTTGGGTGTGTTTACCATTTTTTTTCCCTTCTACAATCATAGAAAGAACTTACTCAATATGTCATACGCTCCCCACTTTGTTTCCCCAAGTTGCGCAAGAGGTATTTCATTGACTTGTCAGTGCTTTTACCAAATGCACCCGTTAGATTTCCTGCTAGGAAAATTATCCTTTCCAATAGCAAAAGATTTCAGTATTGAAACCTGTTTCTAGAGTCCTGCATTCATTACCATCTTATTGCCTAATCTGGGTCATAAATTTGAAGGATTTCTGACGTTTCTTAGCTAAAAATACTGCAGCATTTTATCATCAGCATATTTTGAGCTGTGAAACTGCTACCTCCATATTAAATGAAGCTGTGTCTGTTTTTCATCTTGAAATGTTTCAAGTGAGGACTGAATCAGGTGTGACCTGAAGTTCCTAGAAAAGCTATGTGACCTGAAAGAAGTATCTTTAAAGAATGATGTTAAAAAAATTCTTTTTTAAAAAAAGAAGTTTCTTAACATTTTGGGCCTCTTTCCTCCTTTATGAAATGAGATTGGAAATGATGCATGAGTAGAAAGTAGACAAATTGTTTGGGCTCTATTCAGCTGTTTATTCTTGAATAAGTTGTTTTGCCTCTCCATTCCTCAGTTTTCTTGTTGACATACATGGGGCTGTTATCTTATGTTCTGTACAGCTCTAAAAAACAAAAGTCAAACATGAATGATACATTTGCCCTGTGGTAATTCCAGTATCTTACAAACAACCCCACTTTGTAGTAGTAAAGCTCATATGTTAATGTCACTCAGTTTAAGGTTATGAATCCCTTAAGTTTTCAAATAGCTACTGTTTTTAGATTGCCTGTAAGGAAAGTTAAAATGTGCACAGCACATTGAACAAAAACACTTAAATTCACTAATATGAGGATTCTTCAAATAGAGTGATTCCCATTTTCAGCTTTAGCCTTATCTCCTGTAACAAAGGCATGCCATTCTGAATGGCAATTTTGAAGAGAAAATATTCCAGAAAAACATTTCCAGATGATAATGTAAGAATGTAGAAGAAATAGTCAATTTGGTGATGTGAGGAGGTATATTCATGTCAGTAGCTAATGTCATAAAATTGAGCTAATTATGTAATTTTATTGTATAAAAATGATAAACATCCTGATTGAAGGTTTATTTATACCAAATTGGTGCAAGGGTCATTTGCAGCTTTGTATCTCCCTTTACATTCTCTCCTCCTTTCTTACCTGCATTTACATAAACAGGAGGTGGTGGCATCAGCTGTGTACTTCAGGATGGACATGTTTTTGAAAAGGCCGGGGTGAGCATTTCTGTTGTTCATGGAAATCTTTCTGAGGAAGCAGCAAAACAAATGAGAAGCAGAGGAAAAATTCTGAAGACTAAAGATGGTAAATCAGATAATCTCAATAGCCTTTAATAGTTCCTACAGTCCTTTTTTCCCCAGAGGTTTTATTTGTTATATATATTATATATATATACATATATATATATATTTTATATATATATATATATATATATATTGCTTCTGTAAAAAGCCATTTGGTTGCTGATACCAGATAAGCTTACAAACAATTACTCCTTAAAAGATTCTCCTTTAAGAGACTAAAAGCATCCTTGAAAATTTAATCTAGAAATCTTGTTAAAATTAATTTGATTTAAGCCAGGTAGTGGAATTAAATTACTCTGTGTTTTACTTTGCAGGTAAATTACCATTTTGTGCAATGGGTGTGAGCTCTGTTATCCACCCCAAGAACCCTCATGCTCCTACTATCCATTTCAACTACAGATACTTTGAAGTGGAAGAAGCTGATGGTAAGGGTCTCTAAATCTATAATCGAGAAAGAATAAGTAACAGTCGTAACTAGGACTTTCAAAAGACCTGTAAAGGCTTTTTCCTTGGCAAATGCAATAGATTGTGGTGTACGTGTGAAAAGTGGAGATGGTATTAGCTGGATTCTGATCTCTCCATATTTCCTTCAGCAAAGAAGAAACGATTTCATGAACCCAAACTTGGAATACCCACAGGGTTCTTTACAAATATAAACTCACTATGTCCAAAAGAAAACTTAGTGCTGTGCTTTAACCCACTGCACCACGAGGGAGGGTCCCAAAGGAAAACTTTAGGTGCAAGGTTAATTTGAAATCAAAAACTTCCTTTTAGAAAATATCTTCCACATGGCTTTCCTAATCACCAGTACATTTTCAACAGGTTTATGGTGGAGTACAGTTGGTTATGCCTCATAGTATACATGGAGTTCCAGCCTGTGTCTGCTGTTAGCTATGCTAACTGCTGCTTATCATTTCTCTGTCAGAAACCTGCTCAGTGCCCCAGCTACTTTTGTTGTTTAATGCTATTGCTGATAGCATTAAAGTCATACCTTTTAATTATGAAGCCAGTTTGGCTTTTAATGTTTCACCTTTTAATGTTTAAAAGTTGGTCACTGGTACTGGTAACATGTAGAAAACTTGGAATAGTTAATCTCAAGTTGTCTTCCCAAGCAAATGTTTCAACCCTCTTGAGAGTAAAGGGGAGAGGGTGGCAGTGGTTGTTAACACAGGGAGCAGTAGGATTTCCTGAGTTTTTAATAAACTGTGGATGCCTACAGACCAAGATTTTTCTATTTATGATCTGGCAAAATATTCTAAGGTTTTCATGTGATTCTGATATTCAGCCAGAGCTGAGATCCATCTGTGTTGTTGTGATCCTTCTCTTCCATGTGTATCATTTCCCAGCTTTCTCTCACTTTAGTTTCCTTCCTTTTTCTCCACTTAACCCCTTCTTTCCTGCGTAGGTCTTTTGACCTTTCAAAGCTGTATTTAGTTCAACGATTTTTGATTGTCACCCATTTCATGCTTAATAAACTAAGTTGATAACATTAAGTCTGCTAACACAATAGTAGTGTCCTGTATCTCACACAAAGTTTGCGTCAGCATATGTGTCTTAATTTGGCAGGTAACAAGCAGTGGTGGTTTGGTGGTGGATGTGACCTTACTCCTACATACTTGAACCAAGAGGATGCTGTCCATTTTCACAGAACTCTAAAGGAGGCTTGTGACAAGCATGGTCCAGATCTTTACCCCAAATTTAAAAAATGGTAGGCAAAAGAATTGAACTTGCTCAAACCCCTGTCATATATTCCCTGTAGATCCCAAAGGGAACTAATTATGTCACTAACTACCTTTCTTTGCAGCTTGTGAAGGGTCAGCCGTATTCTTTATACAGAAGAAGTAAGTTCCAGTTGTAGGAGCTATTTACTTAGGAGCACAGTAAGTTCTCAATGTCATCAGTAGGCTTTTGGGAGCTGCAGCTTTAAGACAAGGGACATATAATGAAAGAAGGTCCTCAAATACCATCATTTTGTTAGTGTCATAAATACTATTACAAAGCAAGTGATGTTATTTGCGTATGTGCTGTATTTGTCTGAAATTAATTGAATACCTCATCTTTAATTGACCCCAAGTGATTTAGGATAGTAGCATACAAATCTTAATGTGTTATCTATTCTTGAGAATTGGAGACTTTTTAATTCCAAGACGAAATACTAATTTTTTACCCCAGAAGAAAATAAACATCTCATTGTTGCCATGGAATGAATTAGGGTATAGGAAGAAATGGAAACTTATTAAGGAGACATGCAAATGCATCAAAGATTTTGGACAAGGAGAAAAGTACAGTTGAAATGTTGTTAGGTAAGGAAACTGTAATGATAAAAAAAAAAGAAAGAAAGAAAAACACATTATGAGACCCAGGATATTTGGTAGCTGTGAAACAGAATCTTGGCATACATTGTTTGAAATAAGAGCATCTTTGAGCTAATTGTAATCCTTGAAAAAGGAAGAACAAAATGGCTTGTGGTTTTTTGCTTTGCTTTTAGAAGTAATAATTGTGGAATCTTCATGTTATTTATGTGAAAGCATGGAGTTTAACTTTTTTTTAAAGATTTATTTATTTATGCACACAGAACTGGGGTACAAGCTAGAGGTGCGGGGGCAATGAGAGGATTCACCAGAGACAGAGCGGGGAGCAGAACAGGCTGACTGATGAAGTACACTGCTGAGGGGAGCAGTGGATGGGTCAGGAGAGGTCTGTGCCTTGTGTATCACCAAACTCATGCTGAAGTGGCTGTGGCAAGCCTCATAGTGCTGCGCTTTAACCCATTGCACCACTAGGGAGGGCCTGGAGTTCAACTTTTAAATCCCCAGAAGAGATAATACATTTGGTTGTTCTTAGATTTGTTGTGACCGTTGAATAACTGCATAGTTGTGAACTCAGATGTAAGGTTCGGGTCTTTTTCTCTCACAAATCAGCATCCTTCCAGACAGAGGACTAGTGGTGGAGACATCGCCTTGTTTTTGGTTTCCTTTTGTTGCTGATACTGAGATGACTAAGTAATACTAACTAATAAAATAATTAAACTGGCTAAAAAGTTTTTAGTACAGATATTTAGTAAATCTCTTAATCTCATGAAGAGAGAATTAGCAATATGATTTCCTTAAAGCTGATTTCACAACCTTGCTCAGTAGAGTTCAACTCTGTTAATAAAATGTGTGTATAAACAAACCCCAAGTCTCAAGATGAATTACACCCACTTAGCAGTTCCAGGGCTTTGCATCTGCAGCCTTTTTCCTGTCTTTCTTTCTTTCTTGAGTTTAAATTATGAGGGCTATTTTTTTAGATAAAATTTTGAGTGACTTTTAGATTTTGTTTATACAGTTCTCTTTAGGGACCTATTCTGTAGAAATTATCGTAAGGACAATTTTCACAATGTAAGCCATTCTACAAGTTTAGCATTCAGGAAATGACTTCTTAGGATAACCTCTAAGAGGCACACAGAGCCATACCTAAGAGCAGATTGGTAGTTCGTGTGTCAGCCCTAAAGGGTACCAGTTGCTATGTCTGAAGACTCCTCACTCAGATTTGCATGTGGTAGCATCATCACATTTTATCTCTGAAAGAGATTTTAGAGAGCCTTTACCTTCTTTAGTGAATAATGAGCTCAGAGAGATGGGCTGGCACCAGTCATGGAATTGATGGTGTCACCATCTCTGGAGAGAGCCTGTCCTGCTTCCTGCAAAAGCAGTGCTTCTGAGGGCAGTGGCCTCCCTTGGTTCAAGAAATACAGGGTCACCACTGTTCCCAGTGTTCCCTGTTCTTTAGATATGGTATTGAAATTGCATAGCTGCTCTACAATATTGCTGATTTTCTACATGAGCAATACTGCAGGAAATGTGTCTGGAGTCCTGGTTTCATTATCAAAGATACAAAGTAAGTTCACAGCTGGTGTTAGTCATAGACAATTCTCAAAATCGAACCATTCATGGGGCACCGGGGTTAAGACTACACTGTCAAGCTATTGTCAACCACTGCAGTACGAGTTAGATCCCCAGCCAAGGAGCTATCCCACATGGCGCAGCAGACCTCACCTGACCCGCCCGCTGCTCCCCTCAGCAGTGTATTTCAGTCAGTCTGCCTGTTCTGTTCCCCAGTCTGTTTCTGGTAAATCCTCTCACCACCCTTTCCCCCTCCACACTCTTCCCCCACCTCTGTTTTCATATGGATAAATAAATGAAAATAAATCTTTAATAAACAAATAAATGGAACCACTCCCATTTATTTCTACCATTTTTTTTTTTTTTAAATCCCCTTCTGGATCGCTGATTTGGCCTTGCTGTGTTTTCCAGGTGTGACGAATACTTTTTTATAGCCCATCGTGGTGAGCGGAGAGGCATCGGGGGCATCTTCTTTGATGACCTTGACTCCCCATCCAAGGAGGAGGTGTTTCGCTTTGTGCAGAGCTGTGCCCAAGCTGTGGTTCCTTCGTACATTCCCCTGGTAAAAAAGCACTGTAATGACTCATTCACCCCTCAGGAAAAGTTGTGGCAGCAACTCCGGAGAGGACGGTGAGTGACATACCGGTCTCACCATCTGACTGGGGGAAGTGCAGCATCTGTGACAGTGTGGGTGTTGTGTTGTCTCAGGTAGATAATGTTGTCATTGTTGTATTCATGCTCACCCTAACTTCTTTTCATAACTAGATGAATGTCAAACATTGTAAATTAGTGTGATAAAAAGAACAGTATTCATTTGTCTATAGTACAGACTCATCGTTAGGTTTGTAATAAATACTTGCTGAATGTTATTCAGCTGATTTTTGTTAGTGTTCTAGCAATGTTCTTCAAGCTTATGTCCAGGGAAGTGTATCATTTAATGTTTTTGCTATGTTGAAAATATGGGATCATCTTTTTTCATTCATCTGCAAGGTTTCCTGAAATTTATTATAATGGAAATAGCCATTTCAGAACTTATTTAAACTTAAAGATAATATTTACTTACAGAATCCTTACTGTGAGCCTGCCAGTGTGTTAGGCAGTTTGCATGCAATTTTTTTCACAATCCTGTGAGATTGGTGTAGTTATCATTTTATAGGTGATAAAACTTAGAAAGGTAAGTCCCTTGTTCAAGATTATACAATTAGTTGATAACTAAAAGAGCTCAGATGCAAATCCAGGTCTTCAAAACTTAGTTTTTCCTTTATAGGAAGGAAGTTAAGTAGTTGAAGCAGGTTTATTTCTTGCCTTAGCTGTGTGCCTTCTCTGTGCATTGAACTTGGTGAGCTCAGCTTGGCGAGCACTAAGATTTGCTATGACTTAGCTTCAAAATACCCACTGTGTTGGTTCACATCAGTTTTTCACTTAGTACCATCTTAATTGTATGTATATCACAGGCTGTCAAAATAGATTTTCTCACTTATGTTAATTCTGTCTCAGGTCATTATAGCTTGGGGGTACTTAAAGAGATAAATACTGCCCCTAAAAGGTCTACTTAAAATAATGCTTCAAGTCTAAAAATTAATGTTTGTGCTTATTATTTCTTATGATTGTCTGCCATTAAAAACTTGGAAATGAGAGTTCGTTAAATTTTCTTGCTGGAAATTCCTTTAAAAAAATGCATCTGGGAACTTTTTATGGTTTTTTGTTTGTTTTTGATTTCTCAAATATATCTTTCCATCTTTCTCTTATGTTTATCATGTGCCCCTTTGACCTAGTGCTGTGCTAGCTATAGAAGTAAGCTGAGAAGAGAAGGTTCTCAGTCCAGTGAGAAGACATACCTAAGAGGAGAATTTAAAACTCTATGGCAACTGCAGTAGTAGTCTAGTTTTCTGTAAGAATTTATATACAAACTTGAAAGGTTTGGTGACTACTAATTAGGTGAAGCCTTTAAAACTTAGAGTAATGTTTTATTGTCTTTTTAAATATAATTTAACAATAAGATTAAAAAAGAATTGATTGATATCCATCCATTTACCAAGAAGATGTTTTGAAAGTTCCACAAGTGCGTATCTTTGCCTGCCAGGTGTCTTTGAGTTAGCAGCATATGGGCTGTTAGATTAATTTTCTGTAATATGGTGTGTGACTGTTCTTCAAAGTAAGCCTCCCCCCTGCCATGCTTATCTCTAGGCCTTAGGATAGCAGTAAACTCTGGGCCTAAGATAATCCAGCTCTGTCTTTCCTTTCTCTTGCAGCATTGGGAAGCCCTTATCTGTATCCTTCACAGTTTACTCTTCCCCTCACTCCCCTCCCCCCCCAACACTACTATCAGTTCCCTTAGTGGCTGGTCACCTTCCATTTTGATTTTAAAATATCTTATTTGGTAATCTCATTTCAGCTTGCTCTTCGTTACACTGCTTTCTCCGGTTTTCTTTTTCTGTGGAACAGATACTATGAGCTTATTGTTTTGTTGTATTTTGGCAAAGGAAAACAAGATGACGCTTAGGCAGGAGTTCTTTGTTTTTAATAGCTGAGAAGTATTCCATCCTGTGTGTCTGTCACATTTTCTTAATCCACTCATCTGCTGTTGGGCAGCTAGGTGTGTCCGTTCCTTGGCTATTGTAAACAATGCTGTAGTGAACAGACGGGAATACATCCCTTTGAATAAGTGATCTTGTTTTCTTCAGCTTTTTCTTAATTGTTTTACCTAGCCTTCTCAGCTTTGTGTACATTCTATTTATTGGAAAACATAACCTTGTTTTGTGATTGTTCTGTTGGTGCTGAAACTGTATGCCATTGTTTGTTGGATAGAATACCCTTTCATTTGTCCTATCCAGATGGAGAAAGCTTGTTGACTGTTCACTGTGCTGGTTCCAGCTGTTGGGGGCAGGAAGAAGCCCCCTTTAAGTATTTATTGTGGGTTCATCTTATGAAGGATTTTTTTTTTCAGCTCACCAAATTAATTTTATTTGATGTCTTTATGCCAGGTATGTAGAATTTAATCTGCTGTATGACCGGGGCACCAAGTTTGGGCTCTTTACTCCAGGATCCCGAATCGAAAGTATCTTGATGTCTTTACCTCTAACTGCTCGGTAAGAATACCTCATTATCATAATTGCTCCCCGACCTTCAGGCTCCTAGCCCCTCAAAACATGAACATGAATATCAACTTTATTTTAACCTAAGGATCTTGTTGATCTTGCCTTTACTGATTTTAATAAGAACATCACAGTCAAGTACCTAAGGAAAAAAATGGAATTTTTTTCAGGTGTGGCAGGGTGAGTGCATGGAGACAAGGAAAGAGTAGAGGGAGTGAAAAGCAGGGGCAAGCAATCTCAGTAGCAGATGGACTTTTCCTGCTGGATGACTATCTAGGAAGACTGTGAGCAACGCAAATTTATTTGAACAAAGCAGTTTTTAAAATCACTGCATTTGTGAGGAAATGGCTTACTCTCCACTATGAAGTAACTAAGTTATTTGTAAGTAGACAACATGAGAGACCTTGTCAGGCACTTGGTAGTCGTTCTGTGCTTTACATGTTGCTTCCGTAGAGGATCATTGAATATTTGAGGGGAATTTTAAAGCCTCATGTAATCATCTTGGTGCTATGAGATTAGCACTGTCAGGATCTAGATTGATGTTTTTGACAATAAGAAAAAGAATGATGTGCATACAGATTAAAAACTTCCTATTGTTTTACAAAGGTAAGAGTTTTTTTTTTCTTAAGATTTATTTATTTATGCATACAAGAGCTGGGGTACAGGCCAGAGGTGCAGGGGCGGTGAGAGGATTCACCAGAGACAGAGTGGGGAGCAGAATAAGCAGATGGACGAAGTACACTGCTGAGGGGAGCAGCAGAACAGGCTGACTGATGATTACAACGCTGAGGGGAGCAGTGGGTGGGTTAGGAGAGGTCTGTTGTGCCTTCTGGGTCAGCTCCTTAGCTGGGGTTTGAACTT